TGAGATTTATCAAAGTCAGTCTCAGGAGATTTACCAAAGTCAGTCTCAGGAGATTTACCAGTCAGTCTCAGGAGATTTCCCAAAGTCAGTCTCAGGAGATTTACCAGTCAGTCTCAGGAGATTTACCAAAGTCAGTCCCGTGAGATTTACCAAAGTCAGTCTCAGGAGATTTACCAAAGTCAGTCTCAGGAGATTTACCAAAGTCAGTCTCATGAGATTTACCAGTCAGTTTCAGGAGATTTACCAAAGTCAGTCTCAGGAGATTTACCAAAGTCTGTCTCTTGAGATTTACCAAAGTCAGTCTCATGAGATTTACCAGTCAGTCTCATGAGATTTACCAGTCAGCCTCAGGAGATTTACCAGTCAGCCTCAGGAGATTTACCAAAGTCAGTCTCAGGAGATTTACCAAAGTCAATCTCAGGAGATTTACCAAAGTCAGTCTCAGGCGATTTACCAGTCAGCCTCAGGAGATTTACCAAAGTCTGTCTCTTGAGATTTACCAAAGTCAGTCTCAGGAGATTTACCAGAGTCTATCTCTTGAGATTTACCAAAGTCAGTCTCAGGAAATTTACCAGAGTCTGTCTCTTGAGATTTACCAAAGTCAGTCTCAGGAGATTTACCAGAGTCTGTCTCTTGAGATTTACCAGAATCAGTTTCAGGAGATTTACCAGTCTGTCTCTTGAGATTTACCAGAATCAGTTTCAGGAGATTTACCAGAGTCTGTCTCAGAAGATTTACCATAGTCAGCCTCATGAGATTTATTAGAGTCAGCCTCAGGAGATTTACCAGAGTCAGTCTCATGAGTTCTACTAGCTGTGTAGCCAGCCAGTTTCATGAGATTTACTGTCTGATGAGTTTTACTGAGTAGCCAATCTCAGCAGTTCACCAGCTAAGGGGTCTGTTAGTCTCATGAGTTATATCTATTGAGTTTTGCCAAAGGGGTGTTTGATTCACTATAACTGCACTGTATTCCCAACACTACTAATTATTTTATTGATTACAAGACACATAAGAATTGCAGGCAAATGGGGGTTTTTTTGGGAGAGGGGGGGGGGGGGGGGGGGATTTATCAGTTCGAGTCAATTTAGACGGCAACATTTTTTTTTTTTTTAACCATTACTTTATGAGACTAAACTAACCAGTTCAGTACAACACTGCCAGATAACAACAACTGCATTAGTTATATGGTAGAAATATATACAATTTCAATTGAAACACTGGAAACTAGATTTCAGTTTGGAGTAAAAGACATTTTAATGTTGGGGTGATTTATCTAAGATTGAAATTGGTCATACAGTCTGTAAAATATGGTAACTTTTGTAAGTTTTCCAACAGATTAGATTACCAACTGTAAAAGGTATGTATTGTCTAATACAGTTATTACTGCTGCAACCTAGGCTTTTTTAGTTGTTACTTATCTCTGTCCACGACTGTTATTAGACAGTAATCTCCCTTATGCCTCGTGGCAACCATCACTGAGGATTTGGTCTTCCAAAGGAGATCTCAGCATTCTTTCTGAATCATTCAGCCAGCAGCTCCTCAACTGCAAGAGTCAGCATTAAAGATGCTGTCTTTTTCCTGCCACTAACCTCCTTGCGCAGCATAGGCCCCTTAAGAAACTCAAGCCAAGCCTTTGTATCCTTCTCCATTTCATGGACTTCCATTCACTGCATATTTTTTAAAATTAAGCCCAGCAACACTTATTGTTCTCACTTTATTTCTTAGAAAGTACTTAACTGTTCCCAATGTGGTTTGTGTTGTCAAGTGCAAATTTAGAAAATAGCAACAGGATTGTGGCCACAGAACTGGTGGCACCTTGTGTGTGCAACTGTTGACTTGTTGTAACTGCTGCTTTCATTGATGATGAATTGCAAATTTAGTAAAGGACTATTGGTTGTGGCACTTCTGACAGCGACCTTATGCTTGTGTAAGCTTTTAAGGCTTTGCTAAAATTAGGTCTGTTAAACTGTTTTCCAAGAGACAGCGATGGGCATTCTGTGAGCTTTCAGCTGGCATAGGAAAAGAGCGACTATGGCCTGACCTGTTTGCTGACTGACTGACTTTTTAGCCCACCAGGACATCACACAAGCGATAAACACCCGGTGACACAAAGTGCCACCATGTGGATGAGGATCACCCGTGGAAAGGTATCAGAAACCCCATTCAGCCGTATTTATGTCTAGGCCATATTTATGTCTAGGCCATATCTATGTCTAGGCCATATTTATGTCTAGGCCATATCTATGTCTAGGCCATATCTATGTCTAGGCCATATCTATGTCTAGGCCATATCTATGTCTAGGCCATATCTATGTCTAGGCCATATCTATGTCTAGGCCATATCTATGTCTAGGCCATATCTATGTCTAGGCCATATCTATGTCTAGGCCATATCTATGTCTAGGCCATATCTATGCCCTGGCTATATTCAGGGCCCCCGGCCATTCTAGTTATATTATTATCAAGTTTTATCAATGTGTGTTCTATTCAAAGCCACCCTCTTTTTCTCACCTCTTGATTTACTGGAATATTTTTAGTTCTTACTCTAAGCTCTGCAAAAAATGATTCTGTCAAACAATTTAATTATTTATTTTCTGTACAGGCACCAGTTAATGAATGTTTGTAGTTTATAAGTAACTGTTTTAGTCATTCTCAATGTACCCGTTTCAAAAAAGCAGTAATGATTTAAGCCTGTTACTCAGGTGACTTGGCAAAAACAATGCAGATGACTCGTAATCAAGAAATTCAGGAAAATCGTTTTTTTTTTTAAACAACTATTTTACTATTTATTTGCCCTTCAACATCTGCTAAAGTCAAAGTGTCTGTCTCGCAACACCAAGATCAAAATATATAAAACGTTGATAAGACTTGTCGTGTTATATGGCTCTGAAACTTGGAGCACAACTAAAAGATATGAAGCCTTATTACAGGTTTTCGAAAACAGTCTTACGATGAATCTTTGGACCTATCAAAGATGCAAACAGTGGTGAATGGAGAGTGAGAAGCAACAACGAAATTCATAATCTGTTTAAATCACCACTGATCACTGGCATCATAAGAGCTAATAGACTGAAATAGTTGGGGCATATTGAAAGAATGTCAGATGACAGAGAAGTAAAAACTATACATGAGAGAGATGAATGGTCATAGACCACAAGGGAGACCAAGAAGACGATGGAGAGATAATATCCAGACAGACCTGCAAAGACTTGGTGTTACCAACTGGAAAGAGAAGGCCAAGCAGAGAGATGAATGGAGGCGGGTGATATCTGCAGCAATGAATCTCAAGAGCTGGGAATGCTGAAGAAGAGAAAGAAACAACTATTTTACACAGGTAACCAAAAACAAAAAACAACGCCCTTTTATAAACCAAAACAATGTCAAGTTCCATACAGAATACTGGGAGTTATCAGTAAATATAAATCCCCCGTGTGGGTTCCGGGGCCCCATTGTGGGGAAAACAAGAATAAACCGACTGCCTCCCCAAAAGCATGTCGTAAAGAGTCGACTAATTGGGGAGCTTCCTTTGAAGTCGGAGTGCATCTGCCGGAGAGGCAAGGAACCAACAGTCTGTATTCAAGAGAATGAGATCTGTAAAACTGATGCACACACAACACTCAGGTTCTGGAGCAGGACTGCAGTTCAGTAGTGGACGAGCAACCAGAACCTTCTGCCAGAGTTTACAGCTGGTGAATGCGAAGAAGAAGAAAGTCAATATAAATGCAGCAGATGATTATTAACTAGGTCACATCATTGTGAGTCTGAAAAATAAATGTTTACGTTGACTCACTCATTTTAACCCCATGACCTGGTCACAGGTTAACACCATAACTCATCATCATCATAAACCACTTCTGCCGTTAAGCGCCGTGGGGAGGAATAATTTGCGATCCAGTGCACGTTGGCTGCCACTAGCTATTGCCATGCATGCTGTGAAGGTGTAGAGTGTCTTTAATGTTGTCGATTCATTTTTTTTCCGCGGCCGTCCTATTGCTCTTGTAGCTGAGCTTCTGAGATGTAGTGCTTGTGGTGGTATTTGACCTTGCAGCATTCTAACGAGATGGCCAAACCACTTGATCTGCTGTTTCTCGTTGAATCTAGTACAAGGTGTTGTTCCCACTTTAGCCCGATATGATATGGTTCACACCATATCTAATGAATAAAATTATGAAGTCCTACTTCTATTATTAATGCCGGTTTTTTCTTTACAGTTAAACCCTTGTAAATGTTATTTTAAGTAAGCATAGTCATTCCATGCGGTTCTAAATGTGTGAGCTGGTGTAAGCAATGAAACTGCTATTAGCCAGGCATCTTGTGAATAGGTCACTATAGCAGAGTTGGGGGAGATGAGTCCCTTGGGGTATTGGACCCCACTGAAATTGTCACTGTTGCAGCTTCTCATGTAACAAGTTTAAAAGCTAATATGAATCTATTGGAATAAAGAAAGGTACAAGAGAAACAGAAATCAAAGCAAACCTCAAGACACAAGCAGAGTGGATCTATAAAGTGAAGAGGATGAAAAGGACATCAGGTGAGCGGCATTCAAAAGCAAGAGATAGAATCACTTGGCGTGAGCCGGTTGACAGCCTATGCTCCATTGGGGGATAAGGGGCAGAAGAAAAAGGAGAAGGAAAAGGAAAAGAAAAGGGAGAAGGAGGAGAAGGAAAAGAAGAAGAAGAAGAAGAAGAAAAAGAAGACTGGAACTCATCAAAAGAAGATTTAAAAGCCCTTAGCATGATTTCAACGAGTGCAAATCAATATTCTTTCATGTATCAACTTTAATGCTCATCTAGTATCTGGATTTTCCACACTGCCCATGCAGAAAGATAACTTTCAGCGGAGTATGCTGCCTGTACACACATCATCTTGTGAATTGCAAGAAAACACAAACAAATTAAAATCGAACAAATTTAAGACTATGAATATGAACAAAGAAAGTGCAGCTTCCCCAAATTCACAGCTCTGAAAGTGACGCCAGGTCAAAGGTCGACTGCCTTCTCTTACGTCTGTGATGTGGCCTGCCTCACACATGCTGCCAGAAGCTCGTCCACCTGATCTCCGGACTCCTCAGGGTCAATGTCAAAGTCCTGGAGATGGAGGAGAATATCGCTATTTTTCAGAATAATTTGAAAAAACCAAATTCTTTGAGTGCAGAAGCAAGAAGATACAATTTTAATTAAGTGTCCTGCCTCCACAATGAGGGTTGACAACAATATATCCATAATTTTTTCATCCTAAAACCCTGAAAACTATTTTTCTTAAGCACAACATCTGCATCATGAGAGCTAAAAGACTGAAATTGTTGGGGCATATTGAGAGAATGGCAGATGACAGGGATGTGAAAAACCATATACACAAGGGAGATGAATGGTCGTAGACCATGAGGCAGACCAAGAAGATTATGGAGAGATAATGACCTGCAAACTCTTGGTGTCACCAACTGGAAAGAGAAGGCCAACCAGAGAGATGAATGGAGGCAGGTGATATCTGCAGCAATGAAGAAGAAAAAGAAGAAAAAGAAGAAAACATCTGCCACAGAAATCAAACTCCAGTTTTAGAAGATCAAGAAATTGTTAAAACTCACTGCCCGGTGTGGGTTCTGGGGCCCCATTTTTTCTGGGTGGGTGGGGTGGGGAAAAAGAGGCCCCCTCCCCCCTCCACCACCCAACCCCTGCATCACCGGCTATAAGCTCCAGGGGAAGGTTCTGGTTGTTTGTCCTCTTCTGGATTTTAGTCTTGCTTCTGAGTGTTGCATGCACATCTGTTTTACAGATCTGACAAATCTGCATGCAGACTGTTGGTTCCTTGCCTCTCCTGACTGCACTCCGACAGCAATGGAAACCCCATCAAGACGACTCTTATGTCATGCTTGTTGTAGAGGCAGTGGGTCTATTCTTGTTCCCCTGCCCCCTTTCCACATGGGCCTGACATCCATGTGAATGGTCTTTTTCTAAATCACCAGCCCAAAAAATGAAACCCTGGTATGCCCAGGATTGTGATGCACACTCACCAACATCTATACCACAGAGCCGCACTTTGTGTAGACAAACATACACAAAAAGAGATTATTCTATCCACAGACGAATATGAATTTTCTTCTGTAAACAAGCTTACTTGCATAAAAGGTACAAAATTAAATAGAAGAAAATGAAACTATATATACTGCAAATTACCAAATGAACATAATTGTTCAAAAAAGAATTAAACAAAAAACACAAACTGAAATTATATACTGTAAATGAATAAACAGACATAAAGGGAAGAATTCAATAAACAGCAGAAAATGAAATAAATACTGTAAATGAATAAATGAACTTATAAAAGGGAAGTAAATAAAGAGAACATTACTTATCTCTCACACACACACGCACGCACGCACGCACGCACGCACGCACGCACGCACACACACACACACACACACACACACTACGAATGAATAAACAAACTTACATTAAGGGAAGAATTAAATAAACACCAGAAAAAGAAATTATACACTGTGAATGAACAAACATACATAAGGGAAAGAATTAAATAAAGTGAATATTACTTATCACACGCACTGCGAATGAATGAATGAACTGACATAAAATAAAGAATTAAACAGACAGAAAACAATACTCACATACTGTGAATATAAACAAACAAACTTCCATATGAAACAGCCACAGTTCAGAAAAAGGCATGATAGCCCGTCTAACATTCGACTGTTCTTATCGTTAACTTTTCATCTGTTAACTTTATATTTAGAATTATGTTTGACAGAGTGAGAGTGAGATGGAGAGAGAGAGAGAAATACACACAGAGAAACAGAAAGAAAAGAGAGATATAGTATGTGTGTGCGAGACAGACAGACAGACAGACAGACAGAGAGAGAGAGAGAGAGAATGTGTGTGTATGTATGTGATGTGTGTGTATATTTAAAAGAAGTTGGTATATGTTTATGTTTATTAGACGTATAAACATCATGGCACACGGGTGTAACCCATAAGTGCTCCGTTCTACTTCTAACTCTGAGTCTGAAGAATCTCAGCACAGTGCACAAACTCCGTTGCACCCGCAAGGATCCTAAAAATACTTTACGTAGATTTTAACTGCAAATTTTGCCCGGGCAGCGCAGGCGCTACTTTTTTCAATTTCCAACTGCCAGGGTATTTTATACGTGCAAAACAATACACACGGGCATCCAATCTTACTACCCAGAGACTAGGAAAAATTACTACAAGTCCATGTTAAATAACTTCCAGGGGAAATTATTAACTCTCCCTCTCCCCCCCCCCCCCCCCCCAATCAATATATGTGAGAGAGGTCAACATATCTGGTTAAGGGGTTATGAACACAGTTTGTAACTCTGAACTACAGTTTAAGCTCAACACTCAAGGAAAAGGGCAGACGGATAAATAATCAGTTTCTGGTGCCATCGGAATTGGAACTCTTTGTTTGCTGCTAAAGATAAGGATGGAGCGCTTTTTGGAGTGTCCTGGGTGCTATGATGTCGATTCTTAATTCAACATTCAACTACAGGTTAATCTGGCTGCAAGCCATTCAGCACAAGCCCCTTTGCATTGATTTCAACAACGGTAAAGAGCAGCGGTTCTGAAGCTAGGGGTCTGAAGTTATGAAGTTGCAATGACAATAGTTTTATGGTTGGAGGGTGGCCACCACTTACAGGAACTGTATTGAAGAATCGCTGCATTAGAAAGGTTGAGAATCACTAAAGCATAGAGCATCAACCATTAAGAGGGCATTAACAAACTACTGGATGTAAAATCCCCCAGTAAAACCATCAACGTTGGAAACTACTAAACGTAAAATTGCCTAGTAAAATCACTAACAAGGCAAACAATTGAACGTCCGGTAAAACCATTATATGGAAAACTAATGAATGTAAAATCGCCCAATGAAACTACAAACATGGCAAACTACTGAACATAGAAATCGCCCAGTAAAACCACCAATAATTGATGGGCCTAATTCGTGATGCCCGATAAAGGAATGAACTTATAATTTTACTAGGTGTGTGTGTGAGTGAGTGAGAGAGAGAGAGAGAGAGAGAGAGAGAGAGAGAGAGAGAGAGAGAGAGAGAGAGAGAGAGAGAGAGAGAGAGAGAGAGAGAGAGAGAGAGAGATACAGAGAAAGGGAGAGGGAAAGAGAGAGAGAGGGGGGAGAGAGAGAGAGAGAGAGAGAGAGAGAGAGAGAGAGAGAGAGAGAGAGAGAGAGAGAGAGAGAGAGAGAGAGAGAGAGAGAGAGAGAGAGAGAGAGAGAAAGAAATACATAAAATGTTAATAAGACCAGTTGTTTTATATGGCTCTGAAACCTGGAGCACTGTCAAAAGAGATGAAACCTTATTACACATTTTCAAAAGTCTTATGGTGAATCTTTAGAGCTCTGGCTCATTTGTATGCAGACTGCTGATTCCTTATCTCTCAGGCAGATGCACTCCAAATTTAAAGGAAATTCCTTTAATTAATTAACTTTTAAGATATTGCTTGTTGGGGGAGGGGGGGGGTGCAGTAGGTCTATTCTAACCCCCCCCCCCCCAAGCCCCAAAATGAGGCTCCAGAACCCATATGGAGAGATGCAGACAACTAAGGAGATAAAATAAATGCAAGCAACAGCTATAAATGGTCGTATACCACGAGGCAGACCAAGAAACTGATGGAGAGATAATGTCCAGACAGACCTCCTGCAAACACTTGGTGTCACCAACTGGAAAGAGAAGGCCAACCAGAGAGATGAATGGAGGCGGGTGATATCTGTAGCAATGATCCTCAAGGGCTCAAAATGCTGAAGAAGAAGAGGCGGAAGAAGAACAGCTATAAAGCTTGCCTTCTAGCATAAGGATCTTGGGTTGAAATCGCACTGTGTCAGATTTATTTGAAAACTGACATTGCCTCCAGGTCTACCCGTCAGAAAATAGGAACCCGGAAATGTCGTGGAAGGCAGCAGCGTGATATTGACACCCTCATACATAAAATATCGACATATCTATACAAAATTTGAATCTAGCATCATACGTCAAATTCACAATTGCCCCAAAAAAAGGGGGACATTTTTTTTTTAAAGCAAAAATGAAGCTAGTAGCCGAAACCACTAAACTGTTGCTACTAAGACAAAGTATCTTAAACAAAAAATACATTTAATTACAGGTGTCTGCTATAACCGGCACAAATCACAAAGGTTTCCGGTTTTAAAAAGTTCAAAACAATGTTTTCCCATTATTATTTTTAAAAAAAATAGATATATATGTTGATGAGATTGGGAAAGTCTGCTAGGCAACAATTGTGCACTGTATTGTTTGTGTTCTCACTGTTCACAGTTTCAAAAATATCTAAAATTGTGAGATGACACACACACACAAAAACAGCAAAATATGCCAGGTAATACATTAGTAACCATGGAAATGAGATGGAAGAGAAGGGTTGCAGGAGTGACCAGATACAACAATAAAACCAGGAACGCGGTCATAAGAGAACAAGTCAGCATAGAACCAATTCTACGTTACATAAAAAGACAGCAAAGCAAATGGGGCACCAAATGAGAGAGAATGCCCTGTGATACCATACTATACAAGGCATACATTCAAATAGGAGGTAGACCAAAAACAAGTTGAAAAGATGACATAAGAGAAACTCTACAACAGCCTAATGTGTCTATGTTCAAGGCAGCCAGAAGAGCCTCATGTCTTGTTCAGCATCTGTAGTTTTGCAAGCACATCTGTTTTACAAATCTGGCAATTTGTATGCAGACTATTGGTTTCTCACCTCTCAGGCAGATACACTCCAACATCGAAGGAAACACCCTTTATTTAGCTGGTTCTTCTTCACATGCTTGCTACAGGGGCAATGGATCTATTCTTTTCTCCCCCTCAGCTGGGGCCCAGGGACCCATTAATGGAGTATTGTTTAATTTATTTTGAGACCATGCAGGTGTGTTGGGAAACAAGACAGCCTGATATGAAATGTTTATGTAACGTGCCAGGCGTAACAAGGAAAGATCGACTTAGGAACGATATCAGGAGGAGAGCTGGCATAAAACCAATATTGAACTTTATTGGTAGACAATATTTCAAATGGTTTGGCCAATTTGT